TAAACTAAACCATATAACCAGCTTTATCACATAAGACTGCAGAGGCGTATCGACAAGTCGTGAGCCAAGAAAGTGTCGGGGGCCATGCATTTTAATAGCCGATTACGTGGGGACCCTTCACATTGGATTGGAATATTAAACAATATTGAAGCAAGAAAGAACCAAGCGTGCAGGAAAAATAAACTCATTAGACTTAATAAATACATATTATTGTATTACATCAAACAAATACAACTAAATATATTTTTTAATCTTACCCCTTGTGATTGCTTTTCGTTTGTAGAATAGATCAAATATGTAGCGGGACTTTTGATGATGAATTTTAAATATTGGCCAAAGAGCTTCAACTTTTCTTTTGCCTTCATGTGGTTCTGTTTCAGCTAAAAAAAAAAGACAAGGAAGATAGCAATGAATGCTACTTTACAGTGTGTATCAGGCAAGCTGACTATAACCAAATATACTGTTTTAGAATTCAAGATTTTGAAATAGGCCTAGGCCACTTTCGGCGCGCCATACACCGCAACCGAAATGCACAACAAAACTAGGCCTAGGCTAGTGCGACCGAAATGATCGGATACTGTTTCTTGTATGTTGCCTGGTCTAATAAGCCTACTGACTGTAGGCTAGGTAGGCCGAGTGTGAGTAGCGATTTACCTTGTTGGCGAATTGACATAAATCTACCGAAACAGTCCTAGGCCTACACCTTTACTACGGAATCCCTTACTACTACTGTACTAAGCTAGCGTCCTAGGGTAGGCTAGAGGCCTAGCATCTACTCACTCCGCGCTTGGGGTCGGGCCTATGCTAGGCCGCGTAGCATCAGCTTGGCAAGGGCTAAGTAAAAGAGGCATTATACTGCCAGTCAATACCTTCTCTCATTTTCTGGTCCAATTCATCTAAAGTTGGCTCAATTAACTCCCATCCTTCTGGTGTCCTTTTTCTCGATTTACGAACCTTTGGCATTTTAGAAGTTATTATACTCACTGAAATTTCAACCTTAAAATCACAACACAAAACACTAACGCAAAATCACCGACGATGGCATCTGCAGTGTGTCGCTGTCGCATTGTTTTTCATGAGCGCGCCCTCAATGGTCTGTGCTAACTCAAAACATCTAGGCGTAGACAATGAAAATTTATTTCCTAACAAAATTTAATTTCAAAGCATTGACAAAACAATTACAATATTGCAAAATCTTAAAAAGAATAAAAACAACACCCATTTAAAAATATTTCTGTTAGATACACTTTCTATAAAATAAAAACCCCCAGAAAATTCAATTGATCATTTAAAAGGGTCAATTAAGTTATTAACGTCCAAACGGAAACACATTAAGTAATTTGTCTGGAATTTAAAATTTAAGTTTTTATATTCAATTCGAAAGATATGACCTATCTCAATTGATGTTATGCAGTTTCATGTTTTTATGTTTTAATTAATGCAGTCCGCTGTACTGTATGTTTTTGTTTGTCTTGTGTAGCGGCACTTTTATTTCATATAATTTTATATAAATTCATTGTTATTGTATTTTAATAGCCTATTCAATAAGAAAGATATAACCTATCTCAATCGATGTTATGCAGTTGTATGTTTTATGTTTTAAGTTTTATTCAGTCCACTGTACTGAACGTTTTTGTTTGTCGATGTTTGTTTGTGATTCACCCAATAGTGCGAATCATGCGTTTTTGCCCAAGTATGTGCAAAGAACTTCGTAGAGGTCACAATGGGATTGTGGACAAGGGTTATTTTTGTTCACACATACTTTTTATATATACTTTTATGGTCAAAATGGAGGATTGACAGTTAATTTTGTTCATATGTATTTTTTATATCTATTTTTATCGTCAAGTGGTGTGGCATGACGTGCAGAATAGAGTAGACGGTTATGTAATGTTATGAAGTTTGTTAGGTATTGTATGGATTGTGTTGAGACTGAAAGTGGTGTGGTGAAATGAAGAATAGAATAGACGGTTATACAATATTATGAAGTGAGAAGCTGGTAGAAAAGTTATGCAATGTTATGAGGGAGGATAGTTCGAGAGAAAAGTGAGTTAGTTGAGGTGGAAGTGCACTGAGAGAAAGTCACAGATGGTAGCTAATTTGTGTGTCCTGTGTGGACTGAATGGAAATTGTAGTGTCATCAAAGTTTGGACCTGGTAGTGTAAAGTAGGTCTATCCTGTGTTTATCAAATTACACATTATTATATAATAGAATATAATACTACAGTATATGTGTCCAACTACAAAATGTTATCCTGTGTGGATTAAGCTTGAAGTTATCCTGTGTGGATTTAGCAAAAAGTTATCCTGTGTGGATCCAAAATAAGTGCAGTAACCTGTGTGGATTACAATATTCTAAGTGGAATTGAATGACTAAATAGTATCCTGATTTATTCTGATCCAAGAAATAAGCTTGTGAGTTACAAGTAGCACGGAACCAACGAATAAGAAGCGTCCGGTATTGTGTCCTCTGAAAGCTAATGCGAGTTTTGCGTGCCATCCAGAAGGAAACCTTAATTTTGGAATGGTAGACCATGTACGCGTCTTGTGGACTCAACCCAGAACGAACTTGTATAGTAGTTTTGTTTTATTTTCTTTATTGTGTAATACTTGAGTTGGCAGTTGTGATTGAAAGATACGCTATGATAAAACATGTAGTATTCAAGCTAAATTTTTTAAAATCAGTTGGCTGATATTATACGAAGTTTTACAAAAAAAAAAAAAAAAAAAAAAGAAAAGAAAAACACCTCAGACTTAAAAAAAAAATTTATATAATTAGTGAAAATTTATAGAATATTTTAATGAGATTATTCCAAGTTTTAATAAAGTTTTAAGTTTAACTTCACTATATTTGACACGGAATAATTAGTCATTTAGGGAAAGTAAGCTCAATGTAAGGGTCTTGTGGCTCGTAAATGGATATCAACAATTACTACTCGGTTGTGAATCATTTCACGTAATACCTTAACTGCCGACGATTAAAATCTGACGACTCTAGTCTAGCACCACTGCCTTAATCTTAAACACTGGGAATTTGTTGGCAGTACGCGGCACACAAGGAGCGCAATGAGAGAGGAGACTTACCAAATATCATAAATATAATTTGTAAAAACAAAAACAATGAAATTAAACTTGTTGCACGAATTATGGTGGGGATTGTAGTTTATGAGTTATGCATTAGTAAATGTATAACCAAAGCAAACAAATGTTTAATTCATGGCGTCGTCATCAATTGTTTCGACCAAAGTTCACAAATTCAACTCAAAGACAGTAGAATGTGTCAACAAGAATAGATAAACATCGGCACCTTGATTGGTTCATATTATATTTATTTAACTATTAAGCGTTTTTAGTTCAACCTCATCGCAAACCTGTTAGCAATTTGGCGGTTATTTGGCGACCTGTGCCAGTCCGTCTCATCGTTTTTACTCGCTTCCTTTCCAAGAAGATTTGAACACCGCTTCAACATGAGTCGTAGCCTAGAAAAGATAAATTATGAGGATCAC